CACTTTGAAAGAAAGTTTTCCAGTCTAAGGCCAGGTCTACACTAGACCCAGCAGCTAGGCATAAGGAATGCAACTCCAGAACGCAGAATTCATAGCTAGAGTCGGCTTACCTTAACTGAGCTTGGCACCATCCCCAAAGTGACTCCTCCATCTCTCAGCTCCTTCTAGACATTGCTTGATTGGCTGTTCTTCAATTCACCTTCCTACTGACTGTCTTCCAATCCTTCCTCCTATTGGCTGGCTGCAGTGCAGCTGCCTTTAACCCTTGCCACGAGCCAGAGCGGGGCAAGTGCCCCAGCACAACATGAAAGATGTGAGGGGCTTATAGTATAGTAACGGAGCCCCTAGATAGACTGGAGAAAGAACTAGATTCCATCCTAGCTCAAGACACATTGAAAGGCTGGTGTACTTAGTTCCCTCTGCCCTCAGTTAAAATCCTTTACTGATCACGGAGCCGCACGGCAGACACCGTCAGAAAGACTCTTGATTACTGGCACTGATGATGCACTGTCCAGAAAGAACACCACATGATCATGCCATCTGAGACGTAGGACTAGCTGTTCAAGGAGCACGTCCATTCACTTGTGCACAGAGTGACTGACTTGGAATTCATGGAGACCCACTAAGCTAGGAACCCCAGCATGCGATTATTATAGTCACTCTCCAGCTCAAATTTTCCAGGGGTAACTCAGGCTTATGCTTGATTAGAGCACTTAAAACTCTATTCGTGGTTTTGAGAGTCAGTAGCTGCTCTTACCCTGTTGGAGTCAATTCGGGCCCTGGAGGTGTAGACAGGCGGAGGAAGGTTAAACGCCTGAGGAACTAAGTATTCCTCGGCATCCATCATATCGTCCAGGTCTTCCTCGTCCAGCAGATTTTGGAAGAATTTGCTGTCGTTTGGGCTCGGGAGCTTCATCCGGTCATCACCCTGAATGTAGCAAAGGCCAGAGCAAGATAACAGAGATTAATTCATTTGATGAGGGTGGTTACCTGCTTTCCATGCCACCTCACAGTCATGGTGCAGTGTCCATGCATATTACTCAAGTTGCCCTCCATCTTCGCAGTTACATTTATTGTGATAAATTTGGCTGGGAATCTGATGGCAGGAAGGGAACAACTACATCCATCAAGGAACAATAAATGGTCTGCACTCCTGTTATTGATGTTTATTTTCTTTCTGTTTTCTTTCCATTTTTAACCAAACTCAATTCTGGACCCTGTAGAGCCGCTTCTGGCAAGGTTTGATGTATATTGTGAAATATTTGGGCCGTTAAGGCTAATGCAAGATGCTATTATATATGTATGGAGACCAGCTCTTTTTGTTTGTGTTTTTATTTTATTTTTGGTTTTAAGGACTTATTGCGTTCAATTCCCCTGTTAGCCATATGGAAGGTCATATAAGAATTTAATAAGAGGGAAATCAATAGGAATTATCCTGGTTAATGACATTTGGATTGAAGTAGTGCCCAGTCAGGGATCAGGGCCCGATTGTGTTACATACAAACACAGAACAAAAGAGCTCGCAAGCTATAGAAATTATGCTATAGCATGCTGTAGAACTCATCAGACAATTATATCTCTGCTATGGAATTCTATAGGTCGGTTGAAACATCCCATGGAGAGGGCATTTGCAGTGTTGTAGAAACCATGCTGGGACCAGGATATTACAGATCAGGTGGGTGAGGTCATATCTTTTATGGGACTAACTTCTGTTGGTGAAGAAACAAACTTTTGAGGTACACAGAGTTCTTCTGCAGGTCTGGGAAAGGTACTAAGGCCATGTCTACACTAGCATTTATGTTAGCAAGACTTATGTTGCTTAGGGGTGTGACATAAGTTTTGCCAGCATGGGCACTATGTGCCACTTGAATATTTTCTGCCGATCCATTTTTCCTCTCCACTTGAATATTTTCTGCTGATCCATTTTTCCTCTAGGGGTTTTTGTGCAAAAACAAGCACTGTGGACATTTTCTTTTTGCGCAAAACCCCCTTTTTCCGCAAGATCGGTATAACTCATTTTTTGGGGCATAAGGATCTTGCAGAAAAAGGGTTTTTTCCACAAAAAGGAAACATCCACACTGCTTGTTTTTGCGCAAAACCCCCTAGTGCAAAAACGGATCTGCAGAAAATATGCAAGTGAGATTGTGACTCATGAAAATGAGTCCCTCATTAGCATATTTTTTCCAAGAAAACTTGTAGTGTAGATATAGCCAAATATATTACCTCAGCCATAAAGAAGTTATATAACATAGGACTTCTCATAAGGGCAATGACACCAGTGTTGCAATAGAGTTAAACTGAGAAGAGCATTTGGCCTTCATTATCCTCACAGACTACTAAGGAAGAGGTCACCTGGGTGACCTCAAAAGACGAAATATCTGCCAGATTATAATAAAATACCTTGACAATGAGATTCAAAAGGAAGCACCAAAGAATGCAATAATTGTTTGTAGTTAGTGAAATAACTATGCTGGCAGGTTTCCTGAGGCCTTCGTTTTTCAGAACAATGCTCTTCTTTGAGCTCAGAGAGGAAAATTGGTAGGAAAAGGACCCATTATGATGCTATTACTTGTGCTATTGTTTTACAGATTGAACTGTTCCACCGACTTGCCTGCCTTGCTCACAGTGAGTAAGCCTATCAGAATCTGACCCATGCTGATTCCACATTCTGGTCTCTGGTATTTCACAATTCCGGTTTAGATTTTTTTTATTCGTCTCCATTTGTTTGTCCAACCTGTTCTTTGGAAAATCCCTGTTACTGTAGATTTTTTTAACCTCCCTTGGAAGCCTACTTGAGAGCTTAACTACCCATAGCATGAGAAAATTTTCTGAATGTCTAATCTGAAATTCCCTTGCTGCAAATTCAGCATATTCTTTCTTGTCCAATCTTCAGTGCACATGGAGAACAAGTGATCACTGTCCTTGTTAGAACAGCTCTTCACATATAACATAGTGTGCCCTCCAATACAGAAAAGATGTGGACTCAACTGGACAAAGTCCTGCAATGTACATTGTTAGGGGGATGGCGTGCAGGACTTAGGAGGAGAGGCTGAGGGATTTGGGCTTATTTAGTTTGCAAAGAGAAGAAAAAGGGGGGGGAGGGATTTGATAGCAGCCTTCAACTTCCTGATGGGAGGTTCCAAAGAGGATGGAGAAAGGCTGTTCTCAGTAGTGATGGACAATGGTGTCAATGGTGTCAAGTTTCAGTGGGGGAGGTCTAAGTTGGATATTAGGAAAAACTATGTCACTAGGGGTGTGTCTAGACTACATGGCTCTGCAATGGAGCCATGTAGATGAGTTTACTAGACATAATAAACGAGGCATGCCGGAGCGGTCGACAAAGGCTTCCTTTGTCGACCGCGGAGCATCTAGACTGCCCGCTGTGCCGGATCAGCTGATCGTCGGCACAGTGCGGCGGCCATTTTGATGTAAATGAAGCAGGGATTATTTAAATCGCCGCTTCATTTTGCTATGTCTAGTAAACTCATCTACATGTCTCTGTCGATGGAGCCATGTAGTCTAGACACACCCTAGGAGGGTGGGGAAGCACTGGGATGGGTTCCCTAGGGAGGTGGTGAAATCTCCATCCCTAAAGGTTTTTAAATCCCAGCTTGACAAAGCCTCAGCTAGGATGATTGAGTTGGGGTTGGCCCTGCTTTGGGCAGGGGGCTGGACTCGGTGACCTCCTGAGGTCTGTTCCAACTCTAGGATTCTATGAGTCTATGATTTCACTAGGAGGGTGGACCAGCACTGGAATGGGTTATGTCATGCCTGTATATATTAAGCTGCCGTATAGTATTTGTCAATGTTTTCAAGAAGAGGCGAGTCAGGCACCTGGCAGGGATGATCTAAGTTTGCTTGGTCTTGCCTCAGGGCAGGGGACTAAACTAGAGGGCCTCCCAAGGTTCCTTCCAACCTGATATTTCTATGATTCTATCATCATCACAACTGCAGTTTTCCTTCAGCGGGGTTGAGAGAGCTTCTGACACACACAGATTAGTTTTAAGTTTTTTAAAGGCAGAATTAATATGATTTCCAGAGGTACCACAGTTGCTGACCTGAATGACCAGGTATCTTTGAGGGTCTCGAGCCATTCTAGAAAATTCAGCCGCTAATTCCTTGAATTTAGGCCGACTGTCAGCATCAATCATCCAGCCTGGGGACAGATGTAAAAAGAAAACAAGGAATACAGTTAGCTTTTGAACTACATTTGAAACAATCCCGGGTTTGAGGTGGAACCCCGCCCTTTGTGAATGTGGTGTGCAGAAGAAAGGAAATACAATTCACTTGCTCAGGAAAATTGGAAAGATCATCATAAACACTGCTTCTAAAACAGAGGAAGATCGATCTTGTGGTGAAGGCACTGGAAATCTAGATTCATTTCCTAGCTTTGTTGTCATTGGGCCTTGGGCAAGTAGCTTAAGGTCTCTGCCTCAGTTTACCCTCTCTAAAATGGGGGAAAATACTATTATTTACTAATACTTTCTAATTCTCCTCCTTTGTTAGTCATGTCTGTTTAGATCTTAAATTCTTTATGGGCAGGGGATGTATTTTCCTATAGATCTATACCATCCCTTGCATGATGAGACCTTTATTTCAATCAGGGCCTCTAGGCATGATCATAATACCACAAGTACAATAAACATTTCAATCTGATCTGCTATTCCACAGGCCCTACCAGACTGTTAGCTGGTGATGGCAACATTAATACAAGGTGACTCCAACAGATCTAAACACTCTAACCTCCCTCTCTCCCTCCTCATCATGTATCGGCTCTACTGTAACATTGTTTGCAGGCATAAGACTGCTGCAGGCTACGGAGATTATTGAGACACTTGCTACCGTTAAGCAAGCAAGGACTCCCCACACCCATTGGAAAGAACAGCCTCCCCTTGGTGAAGCAACCGAGACCTGCTGGCGTTTCTCAGTGCCAACCTCTTCTACCAAAAGCTTCTAGTGGTAGTTGCTAAGGAACATCTCGGTGACATGGGCGGTGTCTCCGGCGGTGTCTCCTACAGTGGTGGTTTTCACACTTTTCTTCTCATGACCCAGTTGATGGCTGAGACCCAGCCTGAGGGTGCGAGATTTGAGGTGTCGGAGTGGGCTCCTGCTTTGGAGGGGGTCAGGGCTGGGGCAGGAGAGGCTTGCCTTTTGTGGCTCCTGGCCAGCAGTGCCGTGGGGTGCTAAGGCAGCTTCCTGCCTCTTCTAGCAGCACAGACCAGTCTGTGCCCCAGAAGCAGCCGGCCGCAGGTTCCCAGCCAATGGGAGTGCGGAGCTAGTGCTCAGGGCAGGGGCAGTGCGCTGCTGGCTGCTTCTGGGGCGCAGCGCTGTCTGTGGTCTGTGCCTCAGCACCACCTGATCCACCCGCAGGAACAAGCCCCAGTGCCCGACATTCCACCACCCAGTCCTGGGTCGCGAGTGGTAGTCTGACAACCACCGGCCTACAGCCTTATTACGCTGAAGGTGTGATCAAAGTACAAGACCCAACACCCCCTCAGCCAGAAGGAAGTTTGGTAAGAATATTAAAAGATTAGGGGACACCATTAGCTGCCGTTCCCCCAATGGTAGATGTTCAGAACATGCACGTTCCCTGTATCTCCTTCCAACACTACAGCACTGTTTCTTATTCAACTGGAAATGTGTTCTGCTAAACCACGGTCCTCATGGTCCTCCCCTTTTGTATAGTTAGCTCTTCGAGTCGACTTCCCCACCTCCATGCTGTTGCATCAGTAGCTGCCTTGCTCTTTTAGCCTCTGTGTCTTTTAGAGCCCATAAGGATTCTACGATCCTTTCTAACAAACTTCTGTGTGTCAGTATTCCTGCCAAAGTGAAAGGGACTCCTCACATGCCGTATGGACTCTTCAGCATCATGCAGAATTAGTTTCTATGGCAGAAATGAAATGTTGAGGAGCGTTCCTATATTAAAGGAAATGTCATGCGAGTCTTACAAAAATAGCAGCTGAGCCACAAACAATCAAAGCGCATAAGGGGCTGATTGCCTTTCCACTAGCCTTGCTGACATGAGGGCAGTCTGCAAAAAAACAAAAAATAAAACAAAACACAAAAACCCAAAACACAAAAAAAACCTTCTATTTATTCCTATCAGAATTGTTTGTGTTTGCATTTCAGGGCCCATGTATATTCCGATGGACAGTGCTAAAGATTCAGATTCTATTTACCCACAGATTGTGGATAGTACATGAAATTCCATTACAAATGACCTCATAACGTCCAAGCGGTGTGCCTCACACCTACAGCCTTTCCCGAGATTGGTGTTACAGTCATTGGCTTCTCTGCTAATACTTCCAAAAAGCAAGTGAACATAAGAACGGCCATACTAGGTCAGACCAAAGGTCCATCTAGCCCAGTATTCTGTCTGCCGACAGCGGCCAATGCCAGATACCCCAGAGGGAGGGAACACAACAGGTAATCCTCACGTGAGCTCTCTCCTGTCACCCATTTCCAGACAGGGGCTAGGGACACCATTCCTACTCATCCTGACTAATAGATTCATGGAGGTTAGGTCCATCAATGGCTATCTAGTTCTTTTTTGAATCCTGTTAAAGTTCTAGCCTTCACCACATCCTGTGGCAAGGAGTTCCACAGGTTGACTGTGCGCTGAGTGCAGAAAAGTGACAAGCTTCAGGTTACAAATACAACTCCGGGAAGAGAGAAATCCCACTTTCTTACTAAGAATATGCATATTTTCCTGCTCCAGTTCATCTTTCTTAATTTTTCACACAAAAGTATCAGAACTAAGTGAAATTAACTTACAGTCATCTCTTTGTTCAGACATGGGCCTTTCCCTTTTGATTAAGTCAGAAACACCACCGAGATATTCCTAATTCTTTTTTAATTAGAAATCTAGGCTTCAAGGATCCATTTGTGTGTGCATCTCTGTCTTTCTCTCACAGGGAGGAAAGGCTAGGTACGAGAGAATCGAGATATAAACTATTTTAATTTTTTGCTAAAATATGAAATGTCCATAAACTACAGGGTCTGACTAAACAAGCAAAAACAAATCTTCAGTTGTGGCAAATTTGTGATATTGATTCCATTTCTCTTTAATAACAAAGCATTGTGGATTTCTTTCCTCAATATCTGAGATTTTTGTTTTGGAACCAACTCTACTTTTTGCCACCTTGAATGCTGGGCGATCCATGTACCGTAATTATGTTTAATGCTATCATTTTTACATCAAAATCAATTGTCATGGAAATGACAAATGTTTGCAATAACAATCATACCATTTTGACTTCATAGTGAGATGCACGATACCATCTGACAGTAATAAGAAGCAGAGCTAACACAAACCCTTCGCAGCTAAACTCATATCCTTTGCAATTGGAAAAAAGAAGGTGCATGCTATGTTCAAATTTATAAAAGCTTAGGAAGCTTTTTGTTTTGGACGAGCCTGCATTATTAGCAAGCAAGGATCCATTTATGGGCATGGCTCTCTGTCTCTCTTCTCAATGACTGCAGATGTAATGGAATATGCTCCGCTAGCATTGCCCATAGTGAGATTAAAACAACAGGAACTCACATTTCACCATCACCATGTAAACATCAATGGTGCAGATGGGAGGCTGGGGCAACCGTTCTCCTTTCTCTAGCAGGTCTGGAATTTCTCGTGTTGGGATTCCATCATAGGGCTTTCCTCCAAAGGTCATAAGTTCCCAAATAGTGACACCTAGCAACAAACAAGTATAGGATTAAGAGTTTCAGAGGGGTAGCCGAGTTAGTCTTTAAAGTGCTACCAGACTATTTCTTGTATTTTAAGTTTTTCCTGTTACAGACTAACAAAACATGTACAGTAAACTTCCGATAATCTGGCACCTTTAGGACCCAGGGGGTGCCGGATTATCAGATATGCCGGACTATTGGAAGGGGGGGCTATGAGGGGTCTGGGGTGGGGTGGGGGATGCCACCCCAGACCCTTCATAGCCCCCTCTTCTGATAGTCCGGCTCTGCCCCAGGCATCCCTGATTCAGCCGCTGCTGGTCAGTTTCAGCAGCGGGTGAATCGGGGACACCTGCGGCAGAGCAGCTGGGGTGCTGCCGGGATGGTCCGGTAGTGCTGCCCCTCAGCGCTGCAAGACCAACCCGGCAGCACTCCAGCTGCTCTTGGGGACGCCTGGGACACAGCAGCTGGGGTGCTGCTGGGTTGGTCCTGTAGCGCTGCCCCTCGGGTTACAAAGTGACGAATTGGTCTCATTCATCCTCAGAAGCAGTGCATGTATAAAGCATCCGTAACTTGCTCTGATTTATGCTGGATCCACCATGGAAAGACTATTGCAAGCCTGTGTAACAGCACTTGAGTTCAATTCTAACACTCAGGTCTCTTGTTTGTACTGGGTTAAGAACGGGGGCAGGCTAACAGATATGGGAGAATCAGAACAAACCAAAGGTGTAAAGTGCAGGCATGACAGGTATAGAAGACTAAGGACAAATAAATGGAGACAATAACAAAAGAATATGTCCTGTTCTTTTATCATATCAAAATGGAAAATGAATGGCTGATGTACACTATTATTGTAAGGGGGGAAAAAACCTAAAGATGTTCTCTAAATTACAGCATCAATTTCCCGTAATGATGCATAGTTGAATAAGGTTATGTCATTATCTTTGCCCTGCAAGTCATTCACAGTCAGTTGTGTTGTTTTCTCTTAAAGCACCTTTTGGATTTGGATTATGATAATGCTATGATTTAAACCCGGGATCCTCCTTTTGAATAGCCGGAGGATTTTTTTTTTTTTTTTTTTGGCAGCTAAGCAGAAAGATAAATAATGTATTCCACAAGTAACAGAATTTATCCCAAAAGACAATCTTTAATATTAAAAATACGGCTGCTTTCTCAACTCTCTCCTTTGTTTTGCTTTTATGTTATTGTAAAGGTCATTTAAAATATGCCTCCAGCCTGGTAATCATATTTTGCAGACTGTCACTTCTAATCTGAGGAGAGAGAGGGAAAAATACATATCCATGAAACATGCATTTATTTTCTCCCTCATTCACCTCCACGCTGATGTTTAATAACTAAATTTTGTCAATCGTCTGGTTTTCTTCTTTCCATGTACAGGTATGTTGGGCTTCCTGTTTGAAATTGAGTGGCATAAATAATGGAGAAAGATGTATATTTTGCTAACTTGGTCAATACACAATTTGCGGGGGGAGGGAAGGTAAGCTGCTTTATGCATACTATTTTAATATCCTATAATCATATATTTGTCTTAACTGGACAGACAAAAGGACAGCTACCTGGTAATAGCAAAGAATGAATTTTACTGCTACCCACAGGTAAAAGTGAGTAATGAATTTCGAAACACGTCTGTTTCCAGCACCAGAAACTTTGGCCGAGGTCCAGTATCTCTAATTACCTATTATGGGTTTGATGCTATGAAATTCCATTTAGAAAGGGTGCAGGTTACTGCCTCACTAACAGCTGGACAAGATAAACAGGCAAACAACTAAACAGATGCTGAACAGCTCATTATGATATGGTAGTTAACGCAATTAAATAAACTCTCCAAATATTGAAATCACTTGGTTTTCAGTTTAGAATTGGTGAGAAAGGTCAGGCCACAAAGAATCTGAAGTTGTTCAGGAAATTAAACCTAAGCCTCTATAAGTCAGCCTCTGTTTTCTTTTCTCCTCCCTTTCCTGCTTCTCTCTTGCTGTATTTGTATGTGTGTGTGTGTGTGTGTGTGTGTGTTATATTCCCTTTTATCTGACTGTAGTACAGAAACTCCCATAAGCCAGAAAATATTTTTTTGACATTCCTGGCTTTCAGAGTTTGGTTTTCAAAGAACTGTTGGAAATTATGACCCGCAGTCATATTTCTACCAGTCTGTGGCAAAACTGAAAGAGGCTTTTTTCTGTCACAACAATCTGCCAAACTGCTACCAACACAGAGCTTCTGGCAGGCAACCCAGAAGGGACATTGTGATAATGCATTTTAGTGAGCAGGGAAGTAACACAGAAGACAGGTAACAATGCTATTTAGAAGAGAGTGTAACAATGCTATTTAGAAGAGTGTGTGTGTGTGTGTGTAATTAAATAGAGGAAACACAAGATAACAGTTATCCCCTTTAGGAAATATGGGTTGATAATTAAACATCAGTGACACAATAAAAGAACTTCATGTATTTCACAAGAGATGAACTTGTAAGCACAATCACATGGAAGATTTACCATAGCTCCAAACATCGCTTTGATGGGTGAATTTCCTGTAGTGTATACATTCCAGAGCCATCCACTTAATGGGCATCTTGGGAACAAAAGAAAGACATGGAAGTTAGAATAATAATATGAATCGGTTCTAAACCCAGGTTTCCCTCTCTCAGGTACTAATTTAAAAACTCCAAAAGTTAGAAAATTAAAAAAATAGTAATAAGGCTCGCAACAATAAATTAAATAAATGCTTGGCCAAACTCCATGCTCCTTCACATGCAAGGAGCCCTCAGAGAAATGGTGTAGCAATGATTTACGGTCTGTGCCACCCCACGGAATCCTTCATGTCCTGCTTTAAAGTGGGATTGCTTGGAGGATGGAAGTTGCCTTGGGGTACATCTACACTGCAACACTATTTCGAGATAACTAGCACTGTTCCAAAATTACTGCCTGCTGTGTAGACGTAGACTAAGTTATTTCGAAATAGTGTCAAAATACAGTCAAGCTGGAGAGCTTCTTACTCTGACTCCTGTAACCCTCAGGCTACGTCTACACTGGCCCCGATCCTCCGGAAAAGGGCGCTTTTTCCGGAGGATCGGGGCCAGTCTAGACGCTCTTTTCCGGCTTTTTTAAAAGCCGGAAAAAAGCGGCGGACATTTTTATTTAAATGCCGCGGGGGATATTTAAATCCCCCGCGGATTTCCCTACGACGACTCATGAAATTTACATGCCCCTTCCGGCAAAGGGGCCAGTGTAGACGCTCTTTTCCGGCTTTTTTAAAAGCCGGAAAAAAGCGGCGGACATTTTTATTTAAATGCCGCGGGGGATATTTAAATCCCCCGCGGATTTCCCTACGACGACTCATGAAATTTACATGCCCCTTCCGGCAAAGGGGCCAGTGTAGTCGTAGCCTCATTGTATAAGGAGTAAGGGAAGTTGGAAGAAGAGGGCTCTATTTCAAAATATGATACCCAATTCAGGTAGCTCAATTTGAGTAGCTCATTTTGATGTAAGCCCTGCAGCGTAGACGCACCCCTTGGTGTTGTTGTACACATGTAAAGAAAAGAAGAGCAGGGATTCAGTATTGGGAATGGTGGCGGAGTCCATGTAAAGAGTTTAAATAAAGAGAACAGAATAGATTTTGTCCCACAGGGAACAGTGAGGTAGGAAATAAGCAGAGCTTTCTATTAGCAACTCTTCATCCCACCCAAACTTGGGTTTGATTTCATATTGCAAAATGCCGAGGTGACAAGGTGGTTCTAGTTTATCTGAGCTACCCGTTTGCCCAATATAATGACTGTGTCCAAACTGAGGTAGTTTGGAGAAAGGGGAACCCTTTTGATTTTGACCAGGTTTTGCAAAACCAAAGCCCACTTGCTAGTGAAGATACGGAGCAGCCGATGTAGCCAGCAGGAAAGCTCTCAGGCCATGAGTTAACGTCTCTGTTTCCTGACATACGAGGGGAGGGGACGTGGGTGAAGGGGTTCAAACCCACCAGCCCTCTGCAGCCAAACACCCGTTGACTTCAAATGGGCGGAGTGTGAAACAAACATTGTCTTGTAGCACCGGAGCCTCAGGGTATACGTTATATCCTACCCAGTAAGGAGCATTTTCTTTTGCAAGCATCCAACAATTCATTGAAAGGAACCTTCCTCTCCTCCCCACCCCACACCAAATACACCTACAATTGCAGGTGCCCTAGTAAAATTGTAATGGATGTATAAAGCAGTAAATAGGTCTGCCTCAGGAAAATGTCCTGTGTAGCTGAGTAGAGAACTGTAATCTCTATATTGACAGGCAGAGACATCTTTCTCTCTTAAATTCTATAGGTTGTTTGATGCCCTTTATTGTAAGGAAATCATCTTCTACTGAGTTCTATAGAAACCTATTTAATTTCTGCAGAAGTCTATTAAATTCCATAAGACTTTTCCAGACAGGAGCAATTTCAACAGCAGAGCTGTATTATTCATCAGCTGCCTAAGCCCTCCTTAGCAAAATTACAGTATAGCTTGAAATGAAAACAGTTTCTAGGTTGGGAAGCAATACTCTCCGAAGCAGGACAGACCTTTCCGGTGCATGCATCCTGCCCCAGTCCCCAGTAGTGTGTTCGGGCCCGGGAGTTTGGGAAACTCAGCAAGAGCTGAGGAAAGGAATGGGTGGAGAAGAGATAGAGGGGGTTACTGAAGGGGAGATCAGAGGACCTGGAAGAATCACAGAGGGCTGCCAGACCGCCAGAGGGTCCTTGCAGTGCTAGTGGGTTGGAAAGCAGCCACTGACAATTGCTGTGAAAATAACTGATTTTTCAGTTCTCCAGTATTTTTTGAGGGAAAAAAGGGTTTTCACTTGACCCAATTTTTTAAAAATATTTGGAGAATGGAGACGTTAAAAAAAAAAAAGTCCCTTCATTTTGGCTTGAAGGACACATTTTGTTCAACCCAAAGTGACATGTTTTCTTTCACTTTTACAAAACCCCCACACATTTCAATTTATATTAACATCGGCTTTAAAAATAAATTTCAAAATGAAAAAGGAATTTGGAAAAAAAAGCCCTGAAATGTTGAAAGATATTTTTGGATTTTTTTCCGTTATTTGCCAAAACAACTGGGCACATGCTGCACGAATTAGTGGGGCAAGACATATCAAAGAAATCAGCAGCAGGGCCGGATGAAATTTTTTGACAACTTTTTTTTGTTTTACAAAAATGAAAAAGCAGGCCAACCAAAGCATTTCAGTAACAGTATCCCCGTGGCCTGTCCCCCACAACTCCTGTTCATGGAATAGTTGGACTCAGAAGCGGTGCGTTTAGAAAGGCCGTCATTCTCCCAGGGACGAGCAAGGGATGGCTGTGGTTTATAGTCAGCCACCAATATAAGGCCATGTCTACACTGAGGAACTATTTCAAAATTAGTAAAGTCGACTTAAGTCCCAATTTAACAAAATCGAGCTAGTGTGTCCACATGACAGGGAAGCCTCAAAATTAGTGCAAGGCAGGATCTATTAATGTGGACACGCTACCATGGATTTGGAACTAATTACTTCCCAGTGTTTCCTGGAGCTCTAATTACTCTAGGGAGTGGTTATTTTGAAATAGCGGCACTGGAGCCTCTACACTATCATTATTTCAAAATAACTATTGCGGAATTAGTATGTTTCTCCTCATGAAAAGCAGGAGTACAGATTTCAAATTCCACGGCCCGTTATTTTGAAATAACGGGCTTGGTAGTGTGGACGCTCCACTTAAAATTCAACCTGGGGGGGGTGTTGTTATAAAATAAAGTCCTACTGTAGACCAGGGCTAAGTGAACAGAGCAAATGAGGGGTGAATGAGAAAAGGAGCAGAGCAACAAAAGGTTTCAAAAAGGCGCTTCTAAAACTCAAAAAGTCTTTGGTGGGTGTGTCTCTCTACTCATCCCCTAAGGCAGATTAAGATGGGCATTTTTGGTAAGGCAGTTCAAAGATGCATAACCTGCATCTGGAACCCCCTGAATATTGCTGTGCCTTTGTTGGGTGCCTTTATAAAATCTTGTAATGGTGAATCTATTTAAGACACAGTATGGGATAAAGGTTATGGAGGTGCAATGGGAAATAATATCAGAAGAACATTGGAAAGTGTCTCAGTTAAAAACCAACTTTTTAATGACATGCAGCAGAACTCCTTAGGGTCCTGGTATTTTGCACCCTTTCTTGAGCAACTGTTGGCACGGCAACAAGGAACCGGGAAACAGTGGTCACCGGTGCTTTTACCAGATCGCTTAGAACCAGAGGTAAAACCTTAGTGGGTATGCTACAAGAAAGCACCCCCTGCCCAAGGGAAGGCCCTTGGAGAGAGATCTGTCTAGGAAACGAAGCCTGCAAACTACTCAATCCAGTGCTGGCAATGGAGAGGTAGCATACGGCGATGGAAATGGAACAACTTCACTGGCTTCAGATGCCTTGGTTGCAGCAGAGGTAACACAAGACCCAAGAACAAAGCGTGGCCCTGATTCGGTTTTGCTCGGTGGGGCCAACCCCGGTACCTTGCAGAGTCCCACTGAACAGAACGGAATGGCTTGCAGGACCGGGCCCACTGGGTGCTGAGTGCACATAATCATAGCTCTCACCGAGGTCACGGGTGGCGCTGGTGCTCTTGGCACTGTTGAAAAAAATGAGTCTGGTACCGACAGAAGAATCCCAAGCACTGCTACAGGCTGGGGACCTAGTGGCTAAGATCTACAGAAAAGGACCTGGGTGTTACAGTGGATGAGAAGCTGCATATGAGTCAACAGGGTGCCTTTGTAGCCAAGAAGGCTAACGGTCTCAAGTTGCAGTGGGGGAGATCTAGGTTGGCTATCAGGAAAAACTATTTCCCTAGGAGGGTTGTGAGGCACTGGGATGGGTTCCCTAGGGAGGGGGGTGGAATCTCCATCCCTAGAGGTTTTTAAGTCCCAGCTTGACAAAGTCCTGATTTAGTTGAGGTGGGTCCAGCTTTGAGCAGGGGGTTGGACTCGACCTCCTGAGATCTCTTCCAGCCCTAGTATTCTATGATTCTGTCATTTAGGGCCTAACCTTCAGTTTCTCTTTTTGAACATCTCAGCCTTCAGCTACAAAGATTCCTTTTAATTAGGATGATCAATTGTCCCATTTTGAAAAGGGTTGTCCCATGTTTTCTAAGAGCAAGTGGGGGTATCTACAGGTGGGCTTCAATACAGGACTATGTGCCCATTTTTAGTCTTGTGCCCATATCAGTATTGGTGGGCCCTCTACTTTGCATCTTCCAGCCATCTGGCCTCAGCTCTCCCTGTCTGCCCAGCGTGGTCGCTACACTGCCAGCTGTTGCTAATTAACTCCCCTCCCCCGCATGAGACCTGTGTACAGGAGAGTGTGGGGTCATTCCTCCCTGTGTGACCCCTAAAGTCCTCAAGGTAAGAAGGCAAAGACCCTCCTTTTAATAATGTACACAGTCAAGCACCAATAGCTGTATCCATATCAAGTGATGGTTAGAGAAAACCAGGGCTTTACACTGGAATGAATAAAGCCTCCCTCTCCCCGCCCCAGGCAAAACAGCAAGACGAGGGCTGTCGGTGTGAATGCACCCACCTTCCCTCCATCTGCGTTGTACTCTTTCTCGTCTCCTTCCAGCAGCCGGGCCAGGCCAAAGTCCGTGATCTTTACATGGTTTGGTGATTTGACCAAGACATTCCGGGCTGCTAAGTCCCGGTGGACCAGTCTCCTCTCTTCCAGATACATCATGCCCTGAGGGACATACAAAAAATGAAAATAAAATAAACCCTTCAATCTTTTTTTTTCCCCCAGAATTCTCCTCTCTCTGTGACCTGTTTTCATGAAACATGGAAAAACAGCATCTTTTGTTATTAATTATGATAAAACAGTGTTTAGAAGGTCAGTGACCCATGTAGGCTCAACACTGCACGCATGAGGGAGTCCTCGTTGCTAGCAACATGCAATCTTACTAGACAAGACAGAGGAAGGGAATATTTTCCACCCGATTTTGAAGACAGGGAGCTTGAAGCACAGAAATTAAGTAATTTTCTGAAGGCCTCAACAAGGAGTTTATGGCAGAGCTCGGAACGGAATCCAGATCTCCCGAGACCCCATGCAGCTTCCCAACTACAAGAAAACACTCCTGTTCTATACCCAAAGCCTCCAAGCTAGATACAAATTTTCAATGTTCTTAGTGAAATATGTGGAAAACAACTGTGCTCCGTTGGCTGCAATCCAGCTGCTTTTCCAACCCCATTAAAACTTTACCTCTCGTGTTATAATTGGATATAAGATCAATGTTCAATGTCTTTTATGAGCATATACATCCTGTTACAAGTAGTTTTGTTAACAAGCCATCCAGGTGTCTTCGCAGATAAGCAAACACATGCCCAAACTGACTGGCTGGTGTCTGCCTTAATCATTTACTTTGCCTGGTGACAGACTAAGTGCTTGTGATGAAGGTGGGAGTTTAAATGAGGCTTTACTGCACTGAAATCATCTTAGCCTCGGTAGGTATATGGACAATGCCCTGAAAGGGTTCCCAGCCTGTCAGTTCATAAAGAGGAACTTACGACATTAGTAGTCATTTTAGCCACCTGCAGATGATATCACATGTCTGGCAATTACCCTTACGGTAGCTTTTAATATAGCAAATCTATAACTTTAAAAAAAACCACCATTGGTGAATATCAAAGAAACTGCATTATCATATAAGATGACAATTCAAAGAGCCACTGTCAATGATTAAATTAACTACATTCTTCAGTATAATAGGCCAGATTCTGATTCCTTTGCACTTCGGTGCTACACAAGTAGCCGTATTCATGTGACAGGGTCAGAGTAGAAGGCTATAAAAAAGTATTGGAGAGGAGATGTATAAGCCTCAGACTGAGGAGATCTCTGTTTCCAGAGTAACAGGGAGGGGCTGGTTTAGAACCAGCAGAGGCAATCCAGGGCAGTGGAACACCTGGGGTTAACTGACCAGGCCTGCAGAGTCAGGCCAGCCTAGGCAGATTAGAACACTTGGGGGTAATTAAGAAAACCAGTTCAGACTGGCTATAAAAGACACTTTGCCTACAGTTGGGGCACACATGTAGCTGAGAGGACAGAGGAGGGCCTCACTGGGAGTAGGAGGAAAGGAGACAACAACTGAAATCGAGGAGGACGAACCAGAGAGAAGGAAGGTGCTAGGGAAGGGGTGGGGAAGTAGCCCGGGGGTCTTGGAGCTGTATTTCAGCAGGTGTTAGGGATTCACATGAGCAGCTACTATCAAAGGGCCCTGGGCTGGAACCCGGAGTAAAGGGTGGTCCCAGGTTTCCCCCCACATCCACCTCCCCATTTCTACTAGGGGAAAAGGACCGTGGAGCTTCTTCTCTGTTTTACTATATGCTAACCAAGGAAGAAAATATCTCAACAAACAGAAAATTAAAGCCCTGGGTGTGGTACCTAAAACTGTGGGCCTGCTGTGAGCCTATGAGGCAAGCAAAATCCACCAGGAAGCGCAGGCCCCGCCGAGTTTTCATAAGAGCTTTGACACATATCAATGGGTCATACGTTGATGTACTGTTCAATGCAAGGTGGTCAGAATCTAGTCGTATGCTGGCACGAAAGAGAGGGACACCTCTACAGAAGTCATCTGGGGGACACTTTGAAATGTTGTTCAGCAAAGAGGAAACCAGTTGCCGTAATATTCCGCTATTAACTAGAAGATTTCAATGAAATCAACAGGGGAACTATGAAAGGCTCATGGGGAAGCCTTGGTATCAATACAGTTTTATTTTTAACACAGTATCTTTTGCTGCGTTCAACATGAAGAGAGTTTGCTATATGCCATATAGTCCCCACTTCCCTATTCCCACAGAATTATTTTTAAAAGGCACTTTTAGATGAAGCAAGTGCTCCCTCATGCCAATTTCAAATCAGTGCTGCTGGCTGCTGAACACGAGAAGTGTAGGGCTTTGAAGGAGTAAGAGTTTCTGACATTAAAAAAAAACCTGAGGTAAAAAACGACAAATACATCTCACAGAGCAAACAGTTATGAACCTGGACCAAGCACACCATGAAACAGCAGATTGCGTTGGATGATGATATGATGGGAGTAATGCTTGGACCCCAACCAACAAGAGATACTGTATAAATCAGTCAGTGCCTGTGACAGTCCAGGATATGGAAGCAGCAGGATCGACAGCAGTGATATAAGGTGATGGGGAAGAGGAGCCCAAGGTTTGGAGAGATGTATCTGTTAGGGGCAGATTTATGGAAGGGGAGACTCTCAATCCCTAGCAAGGAGAGAATCTGACAAAAGTACAGATAGGAACTGAAGAGAAACAGTCAAATGAAAAAAAGAGTCCCGTCTAATTACATCACATGATGGCAGACAACTAAATTTTGACGGGGCTTCTGAACTATCAGTCACCAACTGTCCAATCATGATCGTGAGATCCTGGGGAATCTCTCAGCCTATTGTAATTGGCATTCCAAGAGCTCCCTGTGTAGTCTATAGGGCTAACCTGCTTTCTTGCTTGCTTATGGATATCAATAAACCTTTTATGGTTTAATCACTTTGTTTTATTATAGTTTCTGGTAAAGCAATTTGGCTGTAACGCAAGGGACCTACAGGACATATCCTATATGTTAAGCTAAGGCAAGTTAGTATTTTTGTCTGGGAGCTTTCACCCAGACAGCAAAAGACTCCTTGCATATGTTTGGGACCTTTCACCTGGATAGATGGTGATAAGATAGAGCAACTTTTTTTGTGTGGAATAGGGGCTTCCAAGCATATCCTCAAATTTAACAAGTACACCACACGAAGAGCAAAAATAACATAGAAATAACGTAGGTGAGAAGGATCTAGATTAATGAATAAGTATGTTCATGTCATCACTAGGTACAAACATGTTACATGTGTCCAGGCCATGGAGTAAGTGTACCCCAATTCTTTGTGGGTGAGGAAGTTAAATTTGGGCATAGAAGGAGGGCCCAGGCTCTTGTGCTTCTAAAACAGGGTTCCCGAAGCCTTTGCTAGGCAGAAAAGGAAGGAAGAAAACGAGAGGAGAAGGAGAAAGGGAAGAGGAGAAGAGCTAGAGAGAGAAAGAAGAAAGGCAGGAGGAGTTAGGAGCTGAGATTAGTCTCTAAACTTTATCTTTAACTTTATTTTTTGAATAGTCAGTTAGGTAAACTAGGGGTGCGTCTACACAGCACCCTAAACTTGAAATAGATACGCAATTTGCACTATTTCAGAATAGCTTATTTTGACATTTGGTCTCTACACGGCACCAAATTTTGAAATAATGCTCTATTTTGAGCTATCCCTTATCCCTTGTGCAACAAGATTTACCAGGATGGTGAAATAGCAGCCTCATTATTTTGAAAAATATTTCAAAGGGGGCTTGTGTAGACAAAGGGTAGCTTTTTCGGGATCCTGGAGGTATCCCAAAATAGCCATGCAGTGTAGACGTACCCTAGGTTACCTTTAATAAGCATTTAGCATTAGCCTTTGCACCTCTCCGCTGAGAACGGAGAAAGCTGGACCTGAACTGCTGTACCAGAGGCCGGGCTCGTCCTTTGTCTTTTATCACCAGGTTACCCAGATCGGGTGCAAGTCTATTAACCACCACTTATAGAAATAATCCCAAGTGTATCTGAGACCAATAATCCGGCATTTGTAACTCTGATTTATTTTGCTACTTACATTGCTATTTGATTTCAATTTCCGTCTATTTTAATAAAGTTTCAAATTATTTTGTCTCAGTATGAACATCTTGTCATACCCCCGAAGGTCCCTGGTATATTCTGTGCAGCCTGATTCTGGGACAAGAACCTGGTTATCTCCTGATGAGTTCAACTGGCAAGCCTATAATCCAAACTATCCAAATTAATAAGATTTACAATCCTTAAATCAGGTGACACCTGCCTGCACATGCCCCACACAACTCGCTGGTTCCCAGGAGTGGGCAGCACAACCCCATGTGTGTGTGTGGTGGGGGAGAGGATGGGAGTCTCAGCGCACTATTCCTGTCTGCAAGCCCCACCCCTTGCAGCTCCTATTGGCCAGGAACAGGAAAGTATGGCCAATGGGAGCTATGAGGGATGGTGCTGGCAGAGAGGGGCAGTGTACAGAGCCATGTGCTCCCCACCTTCCACCTCTGCGGTCAAAGTGGCTTGTTGGTCCCTTCCAGGAGCCCTGCATAGATACAAATGACACCTCTAGATAGACATCAGTAGCCACTCACCAGCGGGGCTCTGCTGCCGGGAGACACTGTGGCCAAAGCAGAGGAGTGGAGCCGCCTTTCCCAGGAGCCAGCGCTGTGCACCTGCAGCTCCACCTAACCATGCGGGGCTCTGATGTGGGGCCACAGCTAGGGCCTGCAGGCCACAGCTCACTGCATTGCCACCCTGGAAGTAGCTTGAGGGAACCAGCACCCCAACCCCAGTCCCCTCCCAGAGCCAGCACCCCCTCCTGCAGCCCTGCCCCAGCTCTGATATCCCCAGATTGCCAAGAGTTTTTAAAGATAATAGACAAGGGCTTGGAAATCATATTAGCAACTCTATCAGCATTAGATCTGGCCACATGCCCTCCTGCACCCCTAGCCCTGGTCCCCCTCCCAGAGCTAGCACCCATACCCTCCTCCTGCACCCCAAACCTCATCCCCGAGCTCTGTTCCAGAGCCAGCACCCATACCCCTTCCTCTACTCCAAGCCCCCTCTCACATCCCAATCTCCTGCCCCAACCCAGTAAAAGTGAGTG